GGGTTTATATTACGGTCAACATCTCACCTCGAGCCACTCTGGGGCAGAGTACACAGAGTCAACCCCTTTAGAAACCCTAAAAATCTTAAACTGTAAGAACCATTCCTTAAAACTCTATCCCCCTCAACCTCTTAGAAAGAGTTCGGGACTTTGAGGGAACGACAGGCGTTGTAGGTGGGGGGGGGTGGTGGTTACGTAAACGTGTAAACGTATGAGTGCGCCACCACTCCGATACGTATTGCGTGCACACATGAGCAAACCAGACAAACTAGTCTGAGTTATTTAGTTTATGAGTTAAGGTTTATGAGTTAATTGGTTTTATGAGTTAAACTAGTTTATGAGTGGAAGTGGTATGAGATAGACTAGTTTATGAGTGGAAGTGGTATGAGATAGACTAGTTTATGAGTTAAACTAGTTTTTGAATTAATGAATTTACGAGTTGAACTAATTTACGATTTAATTGGTTGATGAGCTAAACTAGTTTATGAATTTAGTTTATAAGTTAAATTAGTTGCTGAGTTAAAGTAGTATCAGAAGATTGAGTGATGGCTTTAAACGTAAGTGTGCGGGCTTAGGCATCACGCACCTGTGTACGCGAATACAGCCGCTCCTATGCCACACGGTTTCCGTAGGGTTTCCACCAAACCCTAAACCCTAAACCCTAAACTCTGTTGTTATCCATGTTTCTTCTGAATCTTAAACCAATCTATCACAGGCGGAGCAGTTGGGTTTGAGTGCTGTGGTGGTACAAGACCTGATGGCACGCCGCCTCAAGGACTACGCGTTCTCATGGTATGTAGGTAGATATGTAGGTAGATAACTAGGTAGATATGTGTATATATTTGTAGATAGATAAGTAGATATATATGTAGCTATATATGTAGATAAATAAGTCAATAGATATGTGGATATTTATGTAGGTAAATAAGTAGATAGATAAGTAGATAGATAAGTGGGCATATATGTAGATTAATACATACATATAGGTGCACAATAATACAATAGCACTCATCGCGATGCAATTATAATCTCTTAAGTGTCATACACTTAACAGCCGGCTTCTCTGTCCAATCTCATGCACTTCTCCAGGGACCGTATCCTCAAGTCCGAGGGAGACACCGGCGTGTATATCCAGTACACGCACGCACGTTTGTGTGGGATTAGAGACGTGTTCACACCCAGGCCAGGCGAACCGTTGCACGCGGTGGATGTGACTAAGTTGGTGGAGCCCAGCGCTGTGGCTCTCGTTAAGCAGATTGCAAGGTTTCAGGAAGTGACTGAACTGGCGGGAAGGTAGGTGGGAAAGTCGGCCTGTGCCCCTTTGCGTGTGTATGTGTATATGCAGGTATGTGTTTATGCGCGTGTTTGTGTGCGTGTATGTGTATGTGCATGTATTGTGTTTATGTGTGTGTGTGTGCGCGCGTGCTGTGTATGTGCATGTATGTGTTTATGCATGTGTGAGTTTATGCGTGTGCGTGTGTATGCGTCTGTGTGTGTATGCATGTATGTATATATGCATGTTGTGTGTGTCATATTCAATTAGACACATACTGACACTTTTTGATACATATTGACACATTGACACCCGACATGTCTGGTCTCTGTATATTCAATTAGACACACGTATTGACACACATTGACACATATTGACACATACTGACACATATTGACATCCGACGTGTCTGGTCTCTGCACAACCTTCACAGAAACCTGGAGCCCTCTACCCTCGTGCAGTATATGCTGAAGGTCTGTCATCTGGTGGGCGCCTGTCATGAGAGTCTATACGTCAAGAGTATGTTGTGTGCGTGTGTGTAAATGAGTGTGAATGTACGTGCATACGGCAAATGGTGTATGCGTGTGTATCTATATGTCATTGAGTGTGAATATACAGGTAGATCGTGTATGTCAATTGAGTGTGAATGTACAGGTAGATGGTGTATGCTTGTGTATCTATATGACATTGAGTGTGAATATACAGGCATATGGTGTATGCTCGCTTGGC